GTAAGTCGAACCACTAGAATTGCTAATTTATGGCAACCAAGATTGTAAAATCATTTTTAGTTTGATGAAAAGGGGTATAAGAGTTGGTTTTATTTGTCACTTCGAAACTAGAATTAAGAATTGCATAAAACAATAAATGCAAGGAATTTAAGAGGAAAGAAATCTAGATAGAGATGACTAGGGAAGTGAATCCACTACCAACCCTCTAAACATGCTAGAATATGATTAACTTAGGGAAACAACATTTATATGTGACCAAGAAATGTAACTACACATGGGTGCTACATTACCTTCAAGAAATTTCATGAAATCAATGGCAAGAATAACCTATCAAAGTTGTATATGCTTGAACTACCTAAACTATGGTGTAGCCTTAGACATGCTTACTAAGTTAGAGATTATCAAACCTTCAATCAAATGATAAGAGCACATGAAGTTAAAAACCAAGTATAGTCCATCAAAGGAAGGCCCTAAGCTATGGACTATCAAATTTCTTAAACAACATGCCATTAAACCATTCCACAATCTCATTTCCATTGTCACTATGAAAATGTAAGCCATATGGTCATGAGAGAAAATAATCTAAGACAAGATAATAAACTCAAAATGATCATTTATAAACATTAATATCCATTACAACATATGTATAGCTCTAGATTATGGAAAGACCAAATATATACATCATTCCCCCAAAATAAACCAAAACTAAGGCATGCTTACAAGGGAGGGCTTCATCATCTCCCTAGAAAGGGAGTTAGTTACCCATAGGAGGAAGGAAGGAAGGAAGGAGAAGAGATCATCATCCCCACCATTTTCGCACCTCAAGGCCACAAGACACACAAACCCTCTTGAACCCAATATTTCTCTCTCTAAAATCTTACAAAAGTATATTTAATGTCCCCATTACATGGTTCAAGCCTTCTATATATCAACCATAGCCATCCAACCACCTCATTTTCGTGTCCAAAGCCCCTAGACAAAATGCAGAGCAATCCCCTAATTAAGGGGATAACATTAGATGAAGAGGAGGGAGCCCATGCTTGCTTGTCTGCGGAATGGCGAGCACCCGCAGGCGTAGGGCGGGCACCCGCGCTATGACGAAGCTACTGCCAAAATTGGCGGGCACCCGCGGCTTCTTGGCGGGTGCCCGCGGCTTCACGAGCCATCTGCCCATTTTAGCGGGCGCCAGCAGCTTTCTTGCGGGCCCCCGCAGCTTGTCCTCAGCTCTGCGCACCTTTGGTAAAAAGGTCATAACTCTCTGCTCCAAACTCTAAATGATGAACCGTTTGATGATTTGAAAAGCTAACTCAAAGATCTAAGTACGTGATGTTTTAATGGGGGTCCAATTCTCAAGTGTGGTGGGTCGAAAATGAAGAACAAAGTCGAACTTCACTGCTGCCAGGCTACTTTTGGTAAAAAGGTCATAACTCTCTACTCCAAACTCTAAATGACAAACTGTTTGATGATTTAGAAAGCTAACTCAAAGATCTAAGTATGTCATGTTTTAATGGGAGTCCAATTCTTAAGTGTGGTGTGTCGAAAATGAAGAACAAAGTCAAACTTCACTGCTGCTAGGCTGCTTTTGGCTCGGTCCGTTGACGCGCTAATCGCGGCTAGCGCTTTTTGCAGGGTTAACCAGGAGTTCAATAGGACACTGGCTTGGGCAATAATGAAGGTTCCCGGCAACGGCGTGCTTTAATTCTTCACAAACTCAATAAAGCCGCACTTTTAACTATCTTTGGGAAACCAACCTGAAAGTAAACAAAAACTCGCAAATGAAGCTAATATGTACAATATGATCAACTAATGGACTTAACTAATGCAAATAAAGGCGCTTGAATATGCAATATTCGGCACTTATCACTATATACCTACACAAGATATATATTTAAACAAGTTTTACAAGTCAATGATATTTTATATCATGTTAAGTCCAATTACCATTTTAAGGAGCCACAAGTACTAATTCTACATCAAGTTAGTAGCATGCTCACAAAGTAATTAAACATACTTACATTTTTAGAGATTTTCAACCTAATCATGGAAAATCTCTAGATTTCAAATCAATTCCAAATAACCTCAAACTAATATATGTTAAATAACATAGCATGCTCATTACATATATCAAATCAAAAGAGCAAAATGAGCAAGACTCCATCATGTAGATTTTAATTAATTTAAATTAATTAAATCTCTAATTTTTCAAAAGTTGTTCAAATGATCCCAAATAAATATATAACAAGGACTAAGTCATGGCCATGCCATATATCAAGTCAAAAATAGAATACAAGCAAGTTAAAATTTAGTAGAATTTAAATAAATTTAAATTCATTAAATCTCTAGATTTGAAAACTTATTTAAATCACCCCAAATTAATATACAACAAAGATCAAGTCATGGCCATGCAATATATCAAGTTTAAAGTGTATATGCAAGTTACAATAAATCATTTATTTCTCAAATTGATATAAAACATGCATACAACTTGTATTTCACTACAAAAGCAATTAAAATCGTTTATAAAATAAACTATAACACCCCCTACCTCACAAGATGATTGTTCCCCTTGAATTCAAGGTAAATCAACACTAAATGGCAAACCCTTCAAGGGTTATGTAGAGGAGGATGAGGGGAACAAAAAGTATTCCCAAGATTAAGCTTGGAAATCAATGGAAGGTTCTCAAAAATCAAAGTCAAGGCCTAAGCATTAACCTCTCTAATGGTGGCTAGGGTTTGTGGTGAGGAAGAAAATGAAATAATGAAATGAAGTGCGAGTGGAGGAAATAGAAATCCTCCACTCACTATATGATCTTACACCATGGTCAACACACACAAGTTTGGTCAATTGCACAAAAACCCTTCTTTAAAATCATAATCCCAAAGTGGCCCAAAAATAATTGTAAGACTTAATTTGGAGCATACACTTGTCACTCATCCAAGCCAACAAGTGGTCCAATCCTAGGCCAACAAATGGGTGAATTTCCACCCTCCACGTGTCAAGAGCTTAAGCTTCCAAGTGGTTCCACCAAAATGTCAGCAAGTGGTTCCATAGGAGTGTGACACTTGTCACACTTTCCAAAAATTACAAAAAGGTCCTTTTCCAAAATATCTTCTAAATTAAATTACAAAATGGTCCTTAAGGCGAAAAATAATTACTTTATGTAATTATACTAAAACCCCAAGGTTATGCATCCATACCCTTTACAAGAAAAGTAAACACTTAGCATACTTTTCTAAAAAAGTAAAAATACACATAGCATGTAATTTAAATATCGTGGATGCATGCAAAACCAGAATCAAATCCGAACACGAAAAGTGAGGTTGTGCCAACAAAGTGACAAATGGGAAAAAGACGAAAAGTGAATAATGTCGAAAAACGAAAAATGTAACAATGACGTTGTCCTTAAAGGAAGTTGTCAATCCAAAAGAAAGAGTCTCAAAAACCATTTCCGAGTACCCGAGACGACACTAATTGACAAGAAATCAAACCCAGAAAAGAAATTTCAATGAAAAAAAATTCATCCATAAAATTCTGAGGAAAAAAGGAAAGGAAGGAAATGATCGGATCATTACACTAGATCCTAACACAAACCCGTATTTTCCATGAGACTCCTTCTCGCTATCGGTGTTTCACTCTATTAACCCATAAACTACCTCTACCCATTAACTCTCTCATGAGGCTACCACCCTCCAATATAGAATTAGGGTTGCATGTCTCCTTCTCATAAGTCTCAATAGTAACCTAGGTATCTATTTATAAAGTCCCAAACCTAATTTATTGTTAGACAAGGAATACAATTCCTCGGAGCCTCAGACTTGTCTAACAAGAAATTACTTAATAAAATACAACTCTAAAATAGAAACCTAATTAGAATAGAATTTGAGACACAGTTCCTAACAATCTCCACCTTGGCTCAAATTCCATCTAGCCAAGGATCGCTTCCTACGACATTGATTAGGGCCGCTTGATCGGTGAAACCTCTAAGGCTCCACCTTGACTACTCAAACTCCATGCTATGTAACCTTTTCACAATTTTTTGACCATCGTGATTGATTCCACCTTCAATTGAAACTCGTTGCAGCATCTGTTGAGAATCCTTGTGTTTTTTGGATTTTTAGATCGTCAAATAAAAGCGAGCTTCCCAACACGAACCTTCGGCTATGATACCTTTTGTTGGGAACATCGAAAGTGTAAGGACATGAAGAAACTCAGCCTATGTCCATGGATGAGAAGAGATTCACTATGATTATATAGATATATTACAACAACAAATAATTCCCAACACCAGACCATGTACACAAACTCTTGCCCTAGAGTCCTCCTCGGTATACTCCACAAGACTCCCTCTCGCCATCGGTGTTAACTCCACTCTACTAACCCGTAGACTACCTTTACCCATCAAATCCCTCACGAGGCTACCACCTTCCACAATAGATTTAGAGCTACATATCTCTCCTTCTCATAATTCTCAACCCATATCCTATGTATCTGTTTATAGAGTCCAACACCTAATTCCTTGTTGGACGTCAACAATTACAATTCCTTCAAGTCTAGACTTGTTTAACCAGAAATTTCCTAATAAAACACAACTATAAATGGGAACCAAATTAAACTAGAATTTGAGACTCAATACATAACATGTTTGTTTGAGTTTCGCTTGTCAAAAAAAAAAGTTTATCAGAGATTTAAAATTTTGAGTAAATCGATGACTGTTTTAGAAAGTTGATGACTCCGAACGGGGTGCGATGACCTTGATAGAAAACTTTTATGGAAGACTAATTATGAGAATCACTTGTGTGAAATTCAGCACGAGGAAATTTAGATTTTGTAAAAAGCAGCTAAATTTGTATGGGCCAAATTAGTGCTGGCGTTGTGCAAGTTCCCTTGTGTAAAACATTTGAAGTGAGGGACTGGGGCTTATTCAATCTAATTTACTCTAGCACTTCATGCTTTTAGGTTTCAATTTTTATTCTTGGGTTCATTATATTTTCCATTGCAGTGAGACAGCGTCATGTTGCTGTTGTTGCAAAGGCAGGGGGTGAGACCTCCGATTCTTCACCCATCCGGACATTTATTAAAGGTGCTCTAGACTATGTGAGTACTCTCTCTCACACACACACACACATAGGCGCATGCACATACAAAAATGTCAAAATCTTTTAGTTGCCAATTTTTTTTAAAAAATGGAATTGTTTTACAGAGTGAATGCCCATAGTCCCCTGGTAAATTTGTCGCTCTGAATACTCGTTCTTTGTTCCTTCCCCTCCTCCTTTACTACCATCCTTTTTTCTTTTTCCTTTAAAATCGACTAGCAAGTTCAGCTTGTGACCACAAACTTGCGCTCATTGTTAATTTTGTTGGGATACTTCAATCTTCTGACAGATCCAATCGTCAAAAAATGCATTGTCTTCTATGTTACATGATCTCCTGTAAATGCATGAAGACTCATGTTAGACACACCTCACGTGGTATGAGTACCGTATTATGTATGATGTGTCTGGTTCTAAAAGACCCACAAACATATCCTGTAATTTAAATTACTCTGCTAAAATGTATATAAAATTCTTTTAGCATGGTCCCCTTTTACATGGTTAGTTCAAAGCACACTTTGTGCTACATAATACACCATGTCGTCCTAAGTGTTAGAAGAAATACTAAATATATGGATGTTTAGCCATGTTCTTGTTTCCTTTGTTTGGGGATTTGATAAATCCAACACTAAGACATACCCACACTTCAACAATTACTGGAGTCCATCTAACATAAATTGACTATTGTGGTTCTATATATTTTTTATTCATATTTATAACAGTAGTATTCTAAAGAATATACAACTTTATATACTCTGTTTTTATATTGATGCTACTGCTGTCTTATTTTGACTTTGGTGTTTTTTGAACAGTTGGATAAATCTGATGATCCACATGCTCTTATTAAAGTTATTATTGGGTTGGGAGCTGCAGCTGTTTTAGCTCTTTTGGCATCTATGAATCCAATTATAGTAATTTCTGCAACCCCTCTTTTGTAGAAGAACAAGAAGGAGTGTGCTAACAATTGGATGATGTCACCACATTTTTGGGGAGCAAGTTAAATCAAAAGGAGCTATTCAAAATGTTAGAAATGCATTACTTTAAGGGGATTAGAATCCATATATAATGGATCTGCTGGTGTATTTTCTGTCATTTAGTTCATCATTATGATGGGCGAACTTAGCCCTCTTAATTTGGAGCATAAGCAATTTTTTTATTTTATTTTATTTTATTGTCATTAACCTGTTCCTCTTTATATATATATATTTTTATTACTTTGGTTATGTTTGATGATTATCCTTTTACTGCCTTTCAGCACGATGAATGTCGTGATTTTTTATATTTTTTTTTTATATGAACAGGCCACTCACAAACATTTCTTTATTCAAATTGTAAAAGGAATCATCACGATGTTTCCTACGGTACGTATTGTTACATGTTTATGGTAGATAGATGGAGAAAGATATGAAAAACCTTATATGTTGCTGTTGCTGCTGTTTCATGTCATCGATGCTGCTGTTGTTGCAAAGGAAACGGGTGGTAGCTCTGATTCTTCAACCTCCCCTGCTAAATATGTTCAAAACGTTGTAAGTACTCTCTCTCTCTCTCTCTCTCACACACACACACGCACACACTCACAGAGGCTCGCGCACATGCAAAAATGTCAAAATCTTTTAGTTGCCAATTTTAACAAAAATGGAATTGTTTGGAAGAGTGAATGCCCAAAGTGTCTGGGTAAATTTGTCACTCTGAATACTCGTTCTTTGTTCCTTCCCCTCCTTTATTCCCATCTTTTTTTCTTATTCCTTGACAATTGACTAGCTCAGCTTGTGACCACAAACTTGTGCACATTGTTAATTTTGTTTGGATGCTTCAGTCTTCTGATAGATCCAATCATCAAAAAAGGCATTGTATCCTAGTTACGTGATCTCCTATAAATGCATGAAGGCTCATGTTAGATGCGGCTCACATGGTATGACCGTATGAGCACTATATTATGTATGACGTATCTGGTTCTAAAAGACCCACAAACATATCCTAGTGTAATTTAAATTACTCTTCTAGAATATATAGAAAATTCTTTTAGCATGGTCCTGTATTACGTGATTAGTTCAAAACAAGTGAAGTGCCCATGTGGAACACTTTGTGCTACATAATGCACCAAGTGATAGAAGAAGTACCATATATGGATATTTAGCTATCTTCTTGTTTCCTTTGTTTGGGAATTTGATGAATCCGACACTTACACAGACCCACACTTCAACAATTACTCTAGTCCATCCAACATAAATTGGATTTGTATTGTGGTTTTAATGTTATATATATATATTTATTCATATGTAGTAACAGTATTTTAAAGAATGTACAACATTACATACTCTTTTTTATACTAATGCTACTGCTGTCTTACTTTGACTTTGGTTTGTTTGAACAGTGGACTAATTTTGGAGCTCGATTTGCTCTTAATGGCTTGGGATTTGCTCTTAATGGCTTGGGATTTGCAGCTGTTGCAGCTCTTGGGGCAGTTACGAATCTAATTACAGTAATTTCTGCAATCCCTCTTTTGTAGAAATTAAGTTGAAGGATCTTGTGTTTGTAGAAGTAGCAAGGGAGAGGGAAAAAGAAGAAGAGAGAGAGGAATTCTGTAGAGGATGGGAGTGAGTTAGGGTTTCCCACACCTCTCACCTATTTATATATTCAAAGGATAAAAATACAGTAGTGCCCTTAGTGAATAAAAGAAATAACAAACTCAAACTCTCTAACACTCCCCCTCCCACAAACTGGAGCATGCAAATTCTATATGCCCAGCTTGGAACACATGCGTTGAAAAGCAGTACGAGCAAGCGGATTTGTAAGAACATCACCAAGCTAGTCTTTAGAGCAAATATAGGGAGTAATAATATGTTTGCGCATTAGCATATCTCAAATAAATTGACAATCCACCTCGACATGCTTGGTACCCTCGTGAAAAACAAGATTGCTAGCACTAAAGATAGCTGTCCGATTATCATAATGTATTGACATAGAAGTAGGAACGACAATACCCATCTCCTGAAGAAGAGAGAGAACCCATAACTTCTCAGAGGCAATGTGAGCCATAGCACGATACTAAACCACAACACTAGAACATGCAACAATTGTATGCTTTTCTACTGTGCTAAGTAACAATATTACCACCAACAAAGGTGCAATAACTAAAGGAGGAAACACGATTATATGACATGAAATTAGCAATGAGATGTCAAGCACAACTACGTTTACCTTGACGTAAGGCAAGTGGTAAATCATCAGTGGCAAAAGTGGACAGGGACCTCCGGTTGAGAAGATGTCGTGTCCGGACTATAAGAAATAACAGGCCGAGATCGTGATCGCTCATAAACCTACAAGGGAGGATTAGAGGGTGGAGCTAATGGCACTGGTATAGGAAGAATAGGAGAAGGTAAGGAAGACTCCCCCTCACGAGTAGATTTGAGATTATAAGGCAAACTTTGACCAGAGAATGAAAAGAAAACAGTTGACTTTCAAAAGGTAACATCAACGCTCACGAAGTATTATCGACTTTCAGGACTATAACAACTATAACCTTTCTGAGTGTGGGAGTATCCAAGAAAAAAACAATTACGAACACGAGGGGACTGTCGCAACCAGGATCTAAGATATGAACAAAGGCCAATAACTGAAGACACGAGGAGTGAGCTAAAAGGGAGGGAGATCATGATATAAAAGAGAAGAGAGAGACAAATTATTCAAAACAGTAGAGGGCATACCAGTCCGAAGAAACAATACTTCTTGAAAGGGGGAAGGCTTACCCTTATGAAGAGCACTCTTTCGAATTTTCCTACGTACTTTATGTCTCTTTTCCCAATGCCTATGAAGGTGGTTTAAAGACTTGAACAGATTTAGAGGAATTCTTTATGGGGAGGCATGAGAGACGATACCACTTGGTAAATTGAGTGAGAGTTGAGGTTTAGGAATCCAAAGGTTGGAGTTGTTCAATGAGGCGCTATTAGAAAAATGAGTTTAGAGATTTGGGGGTGAGAAGACTAATCTTTAGAGGCATGTCATTGCATGCCATTATAGGGAGGGAAATAGAGGGTGGTAGTCTAGGGAGGTGAGATCGCCAACTGGTATGGGTTTTTGGAATTTCATCCTCAAAGGATGGGATGAGTTTTCCAAACGTATCCGGTTCAAAGTTCAAAGTGGGAAACATGTCAGCTTTTGGGAGGACCACTGGCGTGCGGACTTTGTTTTGGCTCGTAGGTTTCTTTGAATTTTCAGAACTTCCATAAATAAGCATGATGTGCTTGTTGACTATTATTGGCTCGTTAATGGGTGGGTGACTTCAGATGTGAAGCTTCGTACATATGCCCATGATTGGGAGCTTATGGAGGTCACAAATTTCCTTGGTTTGATTTATAGCCTGGAGGGTGCGGGTATCAACGAGGTGGTATGGGTGGCACCTCGAGAGGAGTGTTTGAGGTCAGGTCTTTTTACCAAAACTTTATGGAGTCCCCAGGTCCCACCTTCCCTTAGAATGCTATTTGGAGGACAAAAGCCCTTTGAAGGTGGCTTTCTTCACTTAGTCTCCGGCCTTTGGAAGCATCCTTCCTCTCGACAACCTCATAATTAGACGTCAAATCGTGGTGAATTAGTGTTGCATGTGTAAAAAGTTTGGGAGAATCTGTGAACCATCTTTTGCTGCATTATCCTAGAGCAAGGGATGTCTGGTCTATGTTCCTGGTTGATTTTGGTGTGGATTAGGTTGTTTCAGAATCCACAGTGGATATGTTAGGGGCTAGGAAAGGGTGTAAAGTGGAGAGCCGAGTCAGAGATGCTTGAAGGGCCACTCCCCTTTGTTTATGGTGGGGTTTGTGGCGTGAGACGATAGGAAATCCTTTGAGGAAAAAAGAGTCCCCTATTTCATTTCCCAACTGAGTCAGACTAGGAAAGGGTTAATGGGTGGAATTGTATATCTATGGATCTTCTTTTGGATTTTATGGATAGTTTGAAATTATAGTGTCGTTGTGGGCATCTTTTTTTTGTTTGTTTTTTGGGAGGGCTCCCTTCTTGAGCACCTTTAATGAAATTTCACTTTAAAAAAAAAAAAAAAAAAAAACAGCAGGAGCATATGATTAATGAGATGACATGCAGTAAGAACCGCATTAACCCAAAACTGTTTTGGTTCCTCCATACTAAATAACAAGGTACACTCAACATCCAACAGATAGCGGTGCTTTCGTCCAGCAACACCATTTTGTTGAGAAGTGTGAGCACACCTAGTGTGACGAAAGATACCATGACCAACATAGAAGGAATCCATGATAGACTATGTATATTCCAAGGCGTTATCAGATTGAAGAATTTTAACGCGTTTACCAAATTGAGTAAAAATTTTATTATAGAATTTAACAATAATATGAGGTAACTCAGATCTCTTTAATAAAAAATAACCAAGTCATTCGAGAATAGTCATTAAAAAATATAACAAAATAGCGAAATACATTCAAACTAACTGAAATGTCCATTGGACTACATCAAAAGACTCAGTTGGACAACTATGATATGACTACGACTAGGAAAAGATCTACAGTGATGCTTGCCCAATTGGTAAGCTTCATATTCTCAGATAGACAAATGACTCAATGTAGGAATAGCTAAGAGTAACTTTGCCAAAGATGGGTGACCCAAAAGAAAATGCCATTGAAGAGGTGAGACTGTAGAACTGAAAACTGATGATAAGGTAGAAAGAGGTTCACTAGGATCCAAAAAATATGGCCTATCCTTCTCATGTCCCGATCCTATTATCTTCTAAGTCCCGAGGTCTTAAAAAACACAAGAATTGGGGAAAAAAGGTTATACAATAGTGCAATGCCTTAGTTAGTTAACTTACAGAAAGCAGATTAAATGGTAATTTAGGAACATAAAGACCGGAAGATAACGACTTGGTAAGGTGAAGGACGTTTCCCACAAACAGAATGAGAAGAACCATCAGCTAAAACAATATGATGTTTAATAGATTTGAGATCAGAAAAGAGAGTTGATATACCAAACATATGAGAACTAACTGATTTTTTCGATATCATTGACGGATTGTGGTTTAGTATTAGCCATGGGTGGTTCAATACCAACAGCAACAAGACCAATAAACCTCAACAGCCCAAGTATCCAAACAAGTCTCAGTTGCAGATTGTATGTTTTTTTACTGTGCTAAGTAACAATATTACCACCAACAAAGGTGCAATAACTAGAGGAGGAAACATGATTATATGACATGAAATTAGCAATGAGATGTCGAGTACAACTACGTTTACCTTGACGTAAGGCAAGTGGTAAATCATCAGTGGCAGAAGTGGACAGGGACCTCCGATTGAGAAGATGTCGTGTCCGGACTAGAAGAAATAATAGGTCGAGATCGTGATCGCTCGTAAACCTACAAGGGAAGATTAGAGGGTGGAGCTAATGGCATCGGTATAGGAAGAATAGGAGAAGATAAGGAAGACTCCCCCTTACGAGTAGATTTGAGATTATAAGGCAAACTCTGACCAAAGAATAAAAAGAAAGCAGTTGACTTTAAAAAGGTAACATCAGCGCTCACGAAGTATTATCGAGTTTCAGGATTATAACAACTATAACCCTTCTGAGTGTGGGAGTATCCAAGAAAAATACAATTACGAACACGAAGGGACTGTCACAACCAGGATCTAAGATATGAATACAGGCCAATAACTGAAGACACGAGGAGTGAGCTAAAAGGGAGGGAGATCATGATATAAAAGAGAAAAGAAAGACTAATTATTCAGAACAGTAGAGGGCATACCGGTCGGAAGAAATAATACTTGTTGAAAGGGGGAAGGCTTACCCTTATGAAGAGCACTCTTTCGGATTTTCCTACGTACTTTATGTCTCTTTTCCCAATGCCTGTGAAGGTGGTTTAAAGACTTTAACAAATTTAAAGGAATTTTTTATGGGGAGGCATGGGAGATGATACCACTTGGTAAATTGAGTGAAAGTTGAGGTTTAGGAATCCAAAGGCTGGAGTTGTTCAATGAGGCGTTATTAGAAAAATGGGTTTAGAGATTTGGGGGTGAGAAGACTAATCTTTGGAGGCATGTCATTGCATGCCATTAGAGGGAGGGAAATGGAGGGTGGTAGTCTAGGGAGGTGAGATCGCCAATGGGTATGGGTTCTTTGAATTTCATCCTAAAAGGATAGGATTAGTTTTCCAAACGTATCCGGTTTAAAGTTCGGAGTGGGAAACATGTCAGCTTTTGGTAGGACCATTGGTGTGAGGACTTTGCTTTGGCTCGTAGGTTATGGTTGTTGACTATTATTGGCTCGTTAATGGGATGGTGACTTAAGATGTGAAGCTTCGTACATATGTCCATGATTGGGAGCTTATGGAGGTCACAAATTTCCTTGGTTTGATCTATAGCCAGGTGGTAGAGGGTGCGGGTATCGACGAGATGGTGTGGGTGGCACCTCGAGAAGGGTGTTTGAGGTCGGGTCTTTTTACCAAAACCTTATGAGTCTCCAGGTCCCACC